AGTAGTGCCAAAATCGCTGCGTGATGACATACTGATAAGCTTACATGATTCACTAATGGCAGGTCATCAGGGTGTAGAACGCACATACCAGCTGGTTCGTTATCGCTACTTTTGGCCGGGTATGTACAATGATATCAAAACGTATGTTAAAACGTGTATTGCATGTCAGAAATCAAAACGAATGCACAAAAAAGTTAAGGTTCCATTACATCCGCTACCTGTCGGCAGTCTATTCTCAAGGTTACACGTTGATATCGTAGGCCCTCTCAAGAAAACGGCAGATGGATATCAATATGTCCTCGTTGTCGCGTGTGCTTTCTCTAAATGGGTGGAACTATTTCCCCTGAAGACAATGCAAGCAACTGAAGTCGCGAAAATCTTGTACAATGAGGTATTTTGTAGATATGGCTGGCCACGGGAACTTCTCACAGATAGAGCACAGAATTTCAATTCAAAACTGATTACAGCGCTTTGCAAAATATTTAACATAGTCAAACTCCGCACTTCAGCTTACCATCCATGCAGTAATGCAACTGTAGAACGCTTTAATAGTGTTTTAGAACAAAGCCTTCGTGCATACGGCTCCGGTGATCAGACAGACTGGCCTGACTTGCTTCCCAGTATTGCGTGTGCGTATCGTGTTACACCCGCCAGCAGATCAACACAGTTTAGTCCATACTATCTGTTATTTGGCAAAGAATGTGTCTTACCAATCGACACCGCTTACACTCCAGACAATACACTGTCTGATACTTATCAACAACATCTTGACAAACTGTTCCATAATTTAGATGTTTCACGCGAAGTCGCCAAACAGAATATTCAGAAAGCTCAAAGAGTCTACAAAGAATACTATGACAGGAACACATCCGATATGTATTTGACTTAGGACAGAAAGTCTTGTTACATGATCCGAAGGTACCAGTTGGCCTTAGTCCAAAATTGCACAGAAAGTACAAAGGTCCATATTTTATCACTCGACAAGGTCCCAACGACACTTACTTGTTAAGGCATTGTGAAACCAACAAACTCCAGAAATCGCCAGTCCATGCCAATCGACTACGCATGTACAATGATCCGTCACAGCGCCTCACCAGCCCTTCTAATGAGCGGCCGGTTACGGCACAACAGCAGTGTCCGACTGCTGACCCCCCAGTAATGAGGGAGGGAAACAGGGCAGCGGCAGGTCAGAGTGACCCCGCCAGGTCTCAGTTGGCTGATCAAACACGATCACCCAGCGAAACTGAACCTACCGATGAGCCCATATACGAAGTAGAAAAATTACTTGCTTCCCGTACGATTAACGGACGAAAGTATTACAGGGTTAAATGGAAAGATTACCCAACGCGAGAAGCTACTTGGGAACCACAAATGAATTTACCAGCAGAACTGGTACGTCAATTTCATATTGATAAGACAATGATGGGCAGAGCGAGAAAGAAACGACGTCGTTAAGTTATCTAGTATGATAACATCAATACCTTGGGGTAGTTTGGAAGTAGGTATTATGCAATCAAAGAACAATTCTCCTGGCCAGGAACTCTATACTTGAAATTTATTAATCGCACGTGCCTAGTACCTTTCGACCTTAAGTTACTTCTTGCATTGCATAATTCTACCAAACCCCGTGTGAGTTGGTAACATGATATGGAGCTCAGCACATTGTCCTCTTTACTTGTAGGTTACGGGATTGTCCTACTCGTATTGATGGTGGTCTCCCAAATCTCCGTAATGGAAGCACACAGCATAGAGCCAAGACTTAACTATGGCACTATCTTCACAAGGGTCGGCGTTATGGACAATGCACAGAACAAGTGGACACATACCTATGAATTACTATTGCCAACAGTTAATTTCAAACCATTCTTGACACCATGTAACAATTCTGAAGAACAATCGTGCAACAGCTTGAAACTGGTATACAAATATGTCAATCAATTACAGAATGATCTTGTAAATGAATGGACAGATACGCGTTCCAGTATAAAGAGTCTGATACCCGAAATGACCGTGAGCAATCCACAAAGACATAAGAGAGGATGGTTCAATTTTTTAGGATCAGCAGCTAAAACCGTATTTGGCCTAGCTACAGAAGGTGATCTAAAGAAAATGCACGAGCACGCCGCCGCAATTTTGAAACAAAACAGAGAGTTATTAACTAACTTCCAAAAAGTCGATTCGGACATGGCATCATATCGCGCTATATCTTCCAAACGTTTCCATACGTTAGCGACCGCAGTAATTGAAAACCACAAACTAATAAGTCAAGTAGAAAACCACACCCACATAGAGATTGCTAGGATAGCCAGTAGGTCAACACTCGGTAGTCAACTAATGCTGCAATACATGAGCTTGGCTTTCGAAACAAAAAGACATCTTAAGGATTTCTATGTAGGAATCCATGATCTGATTTCTCAACGTTTGTCTCCATTTTTAATTTCAGCCGAGGTTTTACAACAAACTCTAAGCAATGTTACTAAACATCTCGCCTCAGATTTTCCAGGATTCCATATAGCACAAACGGATCTTCAATTCTATTACGATACCAAACCATTATTGTATACAAGAAAGAAAGATTCCGTATTCATTACAATTTCAATACCTGTGACGTCACACACATTTTTATTCAACCTTTACAAGGTCTACACCTTTCCTTTACCAATTAACTCATCGTCGATTCACTCTACTAATTTAATCAACGTTCCAGAGTATCTAGCAATTAATCCACAACGTGACACCTTCTTTGAAATGTATGAAGCAGATTTTCAATTATGCCATGGACACAAACGCAAACATTGCCCAACAATGATCGCCCAGCAGCGAATATCTCGTCCTACTTGTTTATCGGCTATATTCCTTGAAAAGCTAGACAGTGTGCATAATTTATGCAAATATAGTATCACCCCTTACGGAGTAAGTTCCAACGTCATGGAATTAAATACGGGTACCGTAGTTCTCTCAAACATCACATCCATAGTATTGCATTGTGAGCACACAATCACTAAGAAGGATCCTTGTAAATTATGCATTATTGATCTTCCTTGTAGGTGTAGTTTGTTTGCAGATCATTTTCACGTACCACCTAGAATCACACACTGCCATACAGAGTCAGTAGGCATTGTCAAATTCCCACTAAATTTACCATTATTGAGACATTTCTTTAATACTGAGAGATTACAGCCCTTAGTTAAAACAGGATTACCCTCTATAGTTCCTGTTTTCAAAATTCCGCCTCTACACATTAACATTAAGAATTTCACAAACACAGATGCTGACCGTGCGCTTTCTCAATCTTTGAAACAAGCAGCTGAACTTGCCAAGCAAGCAGTAAATTCCGATACAGGAATTCTTGAAGATTACGATAATGATGACGCTTCGGCATCCGCATGGGGTCATGGCTCTAGCATTATCTCATACATCTCCCTCGCTTTCGCCACTCTTGCCCTCTGTTTCACTCTTCTAGGATTCCTGAAACTCAGATCTATTTTAGTTACCTTAGCTCTCATCTCAGGTCAGAGTTCGGTCAAGGCTCAAATGATTAATTTGGAATGGAAACCCTACTACTGTGCAGCCCACAACTACGATCCAATCTGCAAATATTCTTAACAACTTTGTTACTTTATCTAGCGTCGTTACTTTCGACAACGGTCTTATATTAATTGCCATAACTTTAATTGTAATCTTACTGGTATTGAAATGCCGAAAACGAATTTCACGATCCGGTACAAAATTGGAATTAGAACTTGCCACAAGAAATAATTGTTGCCACATTGCCTTGATGAACTCGGCAGCATGTCCTTCTAAAATTAAGGTCAGGTACACTGAAGCGGTGCGAAATGTTCGTCTTTCAAAAAGTTACTTTTCCGCTACGATAACGTTTGATTGGCAAATTACTTTTTCGGATCCTGATGTTGAAATTTTGATTGTTCCAACGCGATACAAAATTTCACTTGTTAAGTATTACAATTTACAGTCTATTTTAGCTGGTCAATACTGTGCTTACCTTCTACTGCGTCATGATAGCACGGCACAATATATTCATCAATCAAGTTCCGTTTATAATGACAACCAAGCCTCAGCTCCACAATCATCATTACTTTATCCCGTAATTCCATAATGGAATGATCTCATAAAATTGTTGTAATTATCTGGTCACTTTTGTTTATACGGTTGCCTTTATATTAACTTTGTTTGCTGTAGTATGCCCGGGACAATTGAGATATTGGCACGATTGTACTTCAGAATGTGTGGAACTTCTTAACAGTCATGATTATTTCCAGGAACAGTGAAAAAGAAAAAAGGAAACGGACAACTGTGTGTGTTTGTGTTGTACCAAGCGCAATGTGATGCGCACGGTGCTCATCATCTATTTTTTTTTTTTTCTTTTTCGTCCTAGTTAAAGGACGTGTGAACATATTTAATTCTTTTTAGAGTGTATATTATTGTAATGCCTCCTTGGAAAGTGTACCTGGACAATTGTGTGTCAAACAAACTTTCGTGTGCCCACAGACAGTATTGCCAATATCATTCGTCACGAGGACGTGACAATTTTTTTTTTCAAGGGGCAAATATCGTAGTGATGTTATGTTATAGATAATATGTTATGTTATGTTATGTTATGTTATAGATGTTATGTTATGTTATGTTATAGATAATATGTTATGTTATGTTATAGGTAATATTATGGATGTATGAATTATCATTGGTTATATATACATGTTAGTGTGCTTAGTATAAATGTAGTAAATGAAACATAGTGTAACAAAGTAGGCAACGTAGAATTAAGAACTTAGTGCATGTGTAGATTAGACAGGTTATATTAATGTGTGTACCTGCCGGGGAGGCTGAGCTAGCTGAGCTCCCTGAAGTCCCGGGATGACCGGCTGATGACCGGGGCAGGTCAGCGGCGAGGGATATCCCGGGAGGTCCGAACGAAGTTCGGCAGTTGGGCTCTGGCCCGTGGAATAAACGACAGAAGCTACATCCCCATGTTGTCGCACCTTGTCAGTGTCCTGTCTACAAACAGGATGTCTCCTGTGCTGGTAGTTGTGATACCACAAGGGTACCTGAGTGCCTTGTCTCCGGTACGGGCGTATCTCCATAAAACATCCCCCTCTGACGTCAGACATGTCACATACTTCTTCCCCCAGTCAGACACGAGTGGGTTGCCCTTGTTGGTGACGAAGATGTAGTCAGGGTATGCAAATAGTAACGCTTTCTTTTCTGTAATGACAGACCTCAACACGTGTCCAGCCATCTCCAGGATATCCATGCGTTCCCAAGTACCTGCTGCTAGAGAGGAAGGATTCAGAACAGCCAGACTGTAGTATTCGGCACGTGTTTTGGTGGTAGAGAGCAGCACCAGGTCAGGGGTCACTTCTACCTTTACAATCTGACGGGATAAAGGGACAGCAACCATCACCTGCTTCTCATTCAACTGTGTTATCCCATTTGGAGAGTTACCCAGGGGAAGTTTACTATGGCATGAATGATTATTTCTTGTGAAGAAAGATTTCACACACTTGTTATTATAGCCCGTAACAACACATGTCTGTACACCATCTACAACCAGAACTGTCACGTCTTGTAGGTAAGGCTCCTCCTCATCACCCGACACCCTCCCTTCTATCGTGTCAACCAGCACTGGAGATGGCTGACATGTACCCTGATCCTGGTATGTGACGTCAATCTTCCCCAACTGCAGGTTATCTAGGACCTTCAGGACGTTGTCAGTGTCTGGTGTAAACCCGATGTGATCTATTCTCCGGGTGGTTGCTGTCTCTGTATCCCTGACAGCCTCCATCTCTACAGCTGGAGACTCCCAGGCCTGATACGCGTCATACAGGTCCATCTCAGAGTCCGATACCAAGGCCTGGTCAATGAACTCACAATGTTGTCTGTACATCTGTATCTCGATCTCTTCCAGATTCACATCAGCTCGGTCGGCGTATGTCTGTGATATGTTATTCAGTTCATCCAAGAGTTGTGTTTCTTTCTGTTTAATCTTGTTAATAGCTGTCTGGCAGATCAACCTAATATTTTGAACAGCTGACTCTGTGATTCTAGAACTACTTTGGAGCTTCTCGTTTCGTATGTCTACTTTCTTCGACCTCACTTTCACTCTCTTGTCCATGCCAAGTCTCTTCTCCATCAGTGCTGCCTTCATCCCTGGCTTCATAGACTCAATGGTGACGACAGTGTTACAAGCTCTGTGGTTGATGATACAACATGTCCGACAGGCAGCCTTCCCACAGTCTTGACAGTGGAACTCAACACGGTTACTCTTGTGTTCCGTACACTTGATCCTTCGTTTGACCTTTGACCTAGACGACAGGTCACATAGGTCATGGTTCAATAAAGTAGGGGTAACCCGGTGTATCTTCACACATTTGTCGCAGAGGACCACTTCTCATTCAGGACACAACAAGACCTCTGCAGTTGTTTCCCCTAGTTGCTGACAGATCGTACAACAGGTGCTTGAGGTCCCTGTAAACACAAGTAGATATGAACTTATTTTCATTGCAATTTAAAAAGGCTACGAAAGGAAGCAGGGTATTTTTTTACACACACATATGTCAATGTTAAGTCTACCACTGGTTTTAAATACACACACACACGCAGGCACACGCACACGTACACGTACACACGCATATGATATTTTCACTTTACCTTGCACAGCCACCTCGGATCTATAGGTGTCAATCAGCCCCTGTATAATGATGCTGGCTTTGATCTGCCCCGCCCACTCCTTCACCGGCCTCCTGGGGTGGGGGACCTTGGTGTCTTGTCGACAGCAGGGACAGGGGATGGTCTTGGACTGTACAGCATCTGGTCTGGTTTGGATGTATGAGGTGACACATTTCCTGCAGAATGTGTGATCACACCTCAGTGTACACGGGTCTGAGTACATCTCGAAGCAGATGGAGCACGTCAGGAAATTACCCTTTACTTTCTTCTCGAGCCCGGCGGTCGCCATCTGTAAGATACACATGCAGTTTGTGCCTTCTTAGTTTAATAGAAATTAATTAGATTCACTACAAGTAGCAATGAAAGATCTGAACATACGCGCGTAGTATGTGAAGCTGTACACGAACACGCGCACACACACACAGACACATAGTAAATATAAACGGATATCTATCTACATGTCTATCATCTATCTATCTATCTGTCTATATCTGAGCAGTCAGACTGGGAATACTGACATCTTATTGACCTTATTATTTACCATACAAGTTCATAATACTTCTGGGAGCATATTCGTGCCAGTGGTGCCAGTCTCAGCTGATTGTCGTCCAGGAATATGTTACTAAGTACAGTATCGGAGCCAGGTTTTCACCCGCGAACTTCTGTCATATATGCAGCTACATGATCCTGGACTGACATGTTACTATGACAACGTCGAGCCCCACCCTGTTATTACTAATGCTGCTGTTGATGTCATGGACTGGCCTCCACGTTCCCCATTAAGGTATACACAGTGTTTTCTCTGTCTATACTGAACAGTATATTAACAGGGTAGTTCGGCCCAAACCTATATTCCTGCCAGATACATGCACTTCAGGTGTGGATAACACAACCCACATATCTGCACCGCCACGATTCTGAGCATGTACATGTTATCTATTCATTCACCGTTAACCTCGACCATTTCAAAGTTAAACAAACACTGACAACGCACGTGACCAACACGTCCCCGAGCCGCCAGTATTAAGGTATCGCACAAAACACGGTAGGAGGAACCATTGAATGGATAGCTTCACCGGAATTACATCAGAACACTAACTATTATTCAACTCAATGAACCAGTCAATGTCAATACCTTTGTATAATTGGATTTACCCACTTAGCTCAAGTGCTACCATTGTTAAAACTGATAACGAAAGTAGACAACCTACCCTCACAATTATCACTGATTTCAAGACGTACTGACTCTCGTATATTTCTATCAGATAATGACTTACTGAGTTTGGTTTTACGCCGCTGTTAACAATATTCCAGGAACATCACGGCGGGGGACACCAGAAATGGGCTTCCCACATTGTGCCGATTCGAACCCGGGTCTTCGGCGTGAAAAGCCAACGCTTTAACCATTAGGCTACCCCACCGCCCCCTATCAGATAATGAATAACATTTGACAAAACACAATAAATGGTAACAGTTATCAGTTCAACAATATGTACGTTACAGAAAATCACAAGCAATGGCTTAAGCCTACCTTTCCGGTGTGTTTTTGGGTGTGGTTTGATGCAATCGGTTGAACTCGACCTTTTCCGTAAATGTTCAAATCGGCTGGGCGCTTATCAGCCGTTCTTGACTGAGCATAAAACAAGCCCCCAGTGTTGGTATGTTTACATTCAACATAGCCAAAAGGAAACGTCTTTTCAGGACATACACATTGCAACAGCACAATATCATATTTTTTCATTAAAATGGCAAACAAACTTAATGTCCCATAAAGCAACTTTCAGAAAATCTTTGAAACAACATAAACGATACTGGTTACAATTCTTTCCCTGTTCTACACCTACTCCCTGTGTTTCCCAACTAAGCGATTTAATCTTTTACACATACGTATACTGAGTTTGAACACGTATCTAAACAATAAGTGAGCCATGTTATGTATTCATGTTCATCCGACTTTTAAATGCCGTTCAAGAACTGAATGCCTGTGTTATGTAGTGGTTACTTATAACTCTTGGTCTTCAGGAACCCATGCTTGTCTACCAGAAGATCCGGGTTAGAATGGTCTGAGTGCGTCGTTAACCAACCAACCAACATTAACTTCTCTGAACATTAATTCAAATAGATGAGAAAATACCGTGTTTATTCAAATTCTAATTCTAAAACTTACAGTCACAAAAGAAGTTATTCAAAATGTTATACTGACACAGACACATTGAGAAACATATGTTTATCAGGCCGAGGTCAGCTGGTGCAGGCGAGGTGCAGGCGGAGCAACACTTCGCACGTACACGGAGTATCAGTGTCCGTCTCTTGCACTCTCAGTTCACTTGTTCCATAGGTATATGTTTAACTGTTGTTTGGCCTCTTTTATGCCTTATTGTCTTGGTGGTGTTGATTAGCCATTCCCATAGTTACATAGATGCAAACATATAATTGTAACAGAAGTGAGTGAGAGAGTATGTTTTAACGCCGCTTTCAGGATATCTTGGTAGTGTTGCCCCCCTTTCATTATTGCAAAACACTTTCCACACTGTTGGGGCGGTGGGGGTAGTCTAGTGGTTAAAGTGTTGGCTCGTCACGCCGAAGACCCGGGTTCGAATCCCCAAATGGGTACAATGAGTGAAGCCCATTTCTGGTGTCCCCCGCCGTGAAATTGCTGGAATATTGCTAAAAGCGGTGTAAAACCAAACTCAGTCAGTCTGTCAGTTCCACACTATTAATCAATTTAAGGCTCCGTTGAAATAAAGCTGAAGCACTTTACAGCTTCATAGTGATGTGTAAAACACATACACCAAAACAGTATTGTCACAGACCAAATGTGAAATGCATGCATTTCCAGTACAGTTACGAATATAACTTAAGTTTCGAAGATCTATTATTTTCAATGTCTATCAAATAGCTAGTTCCCTTCCATTTGTTTACCCTCGTGGACTATGACATACAAGAGGCCGGTGAGACGTGTCATCTATTTATCTCCAAAGATTTAGAGTGACACTGACCACAAGACAATATGACAAAATGGTTTCTACTTTGTTTAAAGACATTGACCAAAGACAAGTGAACGAATATTGACAAAGAAATACAAGAAAATGCTGCATTGGTTTAACGGCGGGTCAAATAAACTAGCAAACACCCAAGTGTAATTTTAATTATTTTCCCCGACAAACCCCCCTGCTGGATTGTAATTATCGGACTGTGGATTGCTACTATAGGACCGTTCCATGTGTGTTTCCAAAAGAAAATATTAGCGTACATATCATGAATCCTCGAACAGTGCTCCGTTCATCCACATAAAACATGCTTTTATTTAAGTGGTAATATAGTTACTGTACAAAAAGCAGCTGTTCAACCAGAACGTTACCCAAGATAGTCAATTAAGCGTATGTATCCTTCCTATTATTGTAATCATCTTATGAAAATCGAATTACACGCGTTTTTAAAAATATACATGACAGTGTATGCCCATTTTCACTAACACCGACAGAAACATACTTTGAACAAAATGGCACTTTATGTGTTTCCAGTTTAATTACCCACAAGTTCTATTTTCCAAAAGTATCACCGTCAAAGAATACCTGTCACCAGCTGAAATATACTTCCAATCTGGACTGACAGTATCTCAGACTGATGTCACAAGACTTGTCATCTCGTCCCAGCAATTACATTTGGAAGATACATCTGTACCAGTAAGGGCCAAATGGCACCAAATCCCCTTGTCCACTCTAGTATAGTCTACTCACAGTATTTTGTGTGGCTCTCGTCTTCATGCTCATCTGGGGCGGTAGGGTAGCCTAGTGGTTAAAGCGTTGGCTCGTCACGCCGAAGACCCGGGTTCGAATCCCCACATGGGCACAATGTGGGAAGCCCATTTCCGGTGTCCCCCGCCGTGATGTTGCTGGAATATTGCTAAAAGCGGCGTAAAACCAAACTCAGTCAGTCAGTCAAACCTGTGTACATCCATTTAATCATAAACTCTCAACAAGCAGTAAAATCGGAAAAAAAGAACAACCAGTCTTGGATTGACACTACAACATTGTTGTCTGTGAAAACAGGCACACGCGGTGTACCCTTGACCACAAGACTTAATTATAAATATGGTTCTTGGACACAAAGATCAATACTAAAACAATATCGTTTGGTGTATTTTTGGACCCAGGCTTTGTTAAAAGGGTGCTAAGATCATTCTAAATACGCATACAGAAAAACAAATACAGCACTTGATGCTCAGTGTTTACCAAAGTATTCTAGATGAGGACATGTTTGCTCAAGGTAAAACAATACTGAGCAGGAAAACAATACTGTAATAATGAAACAAATAGAAAGGCATGTTCTACATAATTATACAAGAAGTCAGGATAAAGGCGTCGTACATTAGGTACCTGGGTGTGTGGTAACACTTGAAGTGATTTAAGACACCTTTCCAGACTGTTTTGTTTCGGATGTGTGATCTAAGAAGACTATGGACACGGGTGGATGGGTGGACAACCTGTCTCCCGCCATAACTATAGATGGTATACGTTATCGTATTTTGTTAAGATCACATTGTTATGCCTAAGTATCTCTACAACCACTTTCACCACTGATGTGTTTCACCGAGTCATCATACGATCCATTTAATTGCTAGAGGTGACCTGTTAATGAATATGGTATGTCTGTACTGGGCTATATAAGCTATACCCTCAGGTATATATCACGTGTATCGATACTGAATGCTTTATGAGGAAGAAACTCCGACAATTGGCCAATCGTTGTGGTTTCCTTTGCCCAGGACGTTTATACTTCAGATAGCAGCACGGCTGAACTAGTCCTTGTCCATCAATACATTAGTCTATGGATATATGTCTCCTTGGTTTCATGCATGCTTTGAACGGAGTGGAATAATTCCACTCTGTGGTTTCCTTTCATTTCAGCTGTGCCCAGGACGTATATACTTTCAGGTACCAGGAAGGCTGACCTAGTCCTATAGGCCATCCAGCATCCTAGCACCAAGTACAGCACATTGTTGAGATCAAGTAGAATCTCCACAACAGCTATATCCACTGATGTGTTTCACCTGAGGATCGTGTGGACTATTTCACTTCATGTTGGAAATGCTGCATGACTGCAATTCACTGACAAAGCGATGCTCATACGTTTTGGTGAAGACACAAACTTTTCCAGACTAATCCCTTGCACAGTTTGTCACGATATTCAATGATAAACGCTTAACCCACAGTTTTTTCCAGACTAGCCCCATGCACAGAATGTCAGGAGCAGACAATGACAAACGATTAAACCACAGCTCTTCACTGACTTTCATTCTCTTGATTTTTATATCAGACAAACATGTATTCTTTCACTTCCGTGTCTGTGCATAGAAATAAGAAACCGAATTTATCACAGAATATATCACACATGTCTTCTCATCGCTATCTTCTAACGTGAGCAGCTCCCTGACAAACTCCCCCGACTCTGTCAGCTGTATCACCTTGTCTGTGTTCCATTCTACAAACAGGATGTCTCCTGTTGTTGTGATACCACGAGAGCTACTGAGTGCTTTGTCTCCGGTAGGGGTGTATCTCCACACAACATCCCCCTGTGGCGTCAGACATGTCACTGACGAGATCCCACAGTCAGACACGAGTGGGTTGCCCTTGCTGTTGACAACACAAGTAGTCAGGGTCGGCAAAGAGTCGATAACTATTGTCTGTATAGACAGACCTCAACACGTGTCCAGCCATGTCCAGGATATCCACACAATCCCAAGTACCTGCTGGAAGACAGGAAGGATTCAGAACAGCCAGACTGAAGTATTGGGTACGTGTTGTGATGTTTGACAGCAGCACCAGCTCAGGGGTCACTTATATTGTTACAATCTGAAGGGATAAAGGGACAGCAACCATCACCTGCTTCTCATTCAACTGTGTCATCCGGTTTGGAGAGTTATCCAGGGGAAGCTTACTATGGCATGAATGATTATTTCTTGTGAAGAAAGATTTCACGCACTTGTTATTATAGTTCCGTAACAACACATGTCTGTACACCATCTACAACCAGAACTGTCACGTCTTGTAGGTAAGGCTCCTCCTCATCACCTGCCACCTTCCCATCTCTCGTGTCAACCAGCACTGGAGATGGCAGACATGTACCCGGATCCTGGTATGTGACGTCAATCTTCCCCAGCTGCAGGTAATCTAGGGCATTCAGGACGTTGTCAGTGTCTGGTGTAAACCTGATGTCATCTATTCTCCGGGTGTCTGCTGCCTCTGTATCCCTGACATCCTCCACCTCTACAGCTCCAGACTCCCAGGACTGATACGCGTCATACAGGTACATCTCACAGTCCGATACCAAGGCCTGGTCAATGAACTCACAATGTTGTCTGTACACCTGCATCTCGATCTCTTCCAGCTTCACATAAACCCTGAGTTGACCGGCGTATGTCTGCGATATGGTATTCAGTTCATCCAACGGTTTTTTTCCTTCCTCTTTAATCTTGTTAATAGCTGTCTGACTCTGTGATTATAAGATTAATTGGGAGTTTCTCGTTTCTTATGTCTACTTTCTTCGACCTCACTTTCAGTCTCTTCTCCATGACAAGTCTCTTCTCCATCAGTGCTGCCTTCATCCCTGGCTTCATAGACTCAATGGTGACGACAGTCTTACAAGCTCTGTGGTAGATGATACAACATGTCTGACAGGCAGCCTTCCCACAGTCTTGACAGTGGAACTCAACACGGTTTCTCTTGTGTTCCCTACACTTGATCCTCCGTCTGACCTTTGACCTAGACGACAGGTCACATAGGTCATGGTTCAGTGAAATGGGGGTCACCCGGTGTGTCTTCACACGTTTGTCTCAGAGGGCCACTTCACTCTCAGGACACCACAAGACCCCTAGAGTTGTCTCCCCTAGTTGCTGACAGATCATACAACAGATGCTTGAGGTCTTTGCAAACACAAGTACACATGTACTCATTTTCGTTGAAATATGGAAAGGCTAGGAAAGTAAGCAGGTTGTAAATTAACAGAAATGTCAATGTTAAGTCCACCACTGGATTTAAATACATACACACACCTTGTACAGCTACCTCGGACCTCAGGTGTCAATCAGCTCCTGTATACTGATGCTAGGTTTGATCTGCCCCACCCACTGCTCCACCGGCCTGCTGGGGTGGGGGACCTTGCTATCTTGTCGACAGCAGGGACAGGGGATGGTCTTGGACTGTACAGCATCAGGTCTGGTTTGGATGTATGAGGTGACAAATTTCCTGCAGAATGTGTGATCACACCTCAGTGTACACGGGTCTGTGTACATCTCCAAGCAGACGAACACGTCAGGAAATTATCTTTTACTTTCTTCTTTAGCCCGGCGGTCGCCATGTGTAAGATGCAGTTTGTGTCTTTTTAGTTTAATACAATCTATCCATCTATCTACCTACCTACCTACCTCCCTTCCTGCCTATCTACCTATCTCTCTATCTATGTGTATACACATACACACATATATGTGCGTCCATGATAATGTTACTGTCATACAGCATCGGGACCATGGAGGACGTCCTTCTGCCATGTATGCAGCTATATGGTCCTGACATGTTACTATGACAACGTCGAACCCCACCCTGTTGTTACTAACGCTGGTGATGATGTCATGGACTGGCCTCCCTTATAGGTACACACGGTGTTTTCTCTGACTGTCTATATTTTACAGTATATTAACACATATCTGCACCGCCACGACTTGGTAGGGTGGCACTTCCTGACGGCACTTCCAAGACGCACTAACGCTGGTATATTTCTCTTAGATAATGAATAACATTTGACAAAGCACATTAACTGGTATCCGTTATCAGTTCAACAATACGTACTCTACAGAAAGTCACAAGCAATGACTTCAGTCTACCTTTCCGCTGGCTGTGTGGTCCGGTCTGGTTTGCCACAATCGGATGAACTCGCCCTTTTCCGTAACTGCTCTGTCGGCTGGGCGCTTATCGGCCTTTGTTGACTGTCCTTAAAACAAGCACTCTAAGCACTCCCTACTAAGTGATGACATCTTTTACCAATACTGAATATTGCCAACAATTGTTTTAAAAAAAGAAATGCACTTGCTTTGGAATCACTCATAAATCAAATTGACTTCTCTGAACACTTGGAGCGTTGGGATAGCCCAGTGATTAAAGCGTTCTCTCGTCACGCCGAAGACCCGGGTTCGCTTTCCCACATGGGTACAATGTGTGAAGCCCATTTCCAGTGTCCCCGGCCGGGATATTGCTGGAATATTGCTAAAAAGCGGCGAAAATCTAAATTCACCCATTCAGTTTAATAGAAACTATACCATCATTCGTCAACACAAATTCAAAACAATACCAATATGTGCAAAACAGTGATGAAACGGTTATTCAGAATATTGTATTAACAGAGGCACATTCAGATAAAGAATTTTTTTGTTGGGTGAGATCAGCTGCACGATTTATCAGTGTCTGTCTCTCGCTCTCTCGGTTCACTTGTTCCACATGTATATGTTTGACTGTTGTTTGGCCTCTTTTATGTGCTTACTTCCTCCATGGAGTACATTTACACCGCTGGAACCTCGGAATAATCTCGGTAGTGTTGTCTCCCTTCCATTATTGCAAAACACTTCCGAAGTCTGTAAAAATGAATTTAGGACTGAACAAAAACACACACACCAAAACTGAAGTGTCACAAACAAGTAGGGCCCAGAGTTGAAATGCATGCATTTCCTGTACAGTTACCTATAAAGCGACATGTGCTTACTTTCTTTTTTAAGATAAAAAGCCTAAGCTTGAGATAGAGCGATATTTTAAATCATTCAATGGCCTTCAAATAGCTAGTTCCCTTCCACTAATTTGCCCAAATGAACTGTACGAGGCCGGTGAGACGTGGCATCTCTGTATATTTTCCCCTAAAGATTTAGAATGACACATTTCACACGACTCTATATCAAGAGGATGTCTTCAACCGTCCAACACTCTAGTTATTTATGTGCAGGTCTGATGTCATAACGAAAGCAGAAGCCATTATTCCTGCTGCAGTCATGGGTTGTTTTCTGTGTATGGAAAATGCAACGTTATGAACGCGCCAGGACTACAGGTACCGTAGTTAGCCATAAGTGAGTCAACATTTGTGAAATTTCCATATACTTACACGTTAATTAACTGTTGCAAGAACGATTTGTTATAAATTTAGTAGAAGTTATTTTATTTTGATATTTTGCAAACATCTTGGAAATCATCTTCAGCTAAGTGTACATAATTTTCTTTCATCGGGGGCGCGGTGGGCGAACTTGCTAAAGCGCCAGGCTAGTGATCCAGCGAGCTTGAGGTGACGGGATCGAGCCCACCTGTGACCGGGTGTAACATCCTTTGTGTGCAGACTCTTTCAGTGTTGTCACAACCCCTAGTGTACAGTACACAACCCTGTGCACTTAAAAGAACCCCACGAATCCGTTGGTATATGACCAGATGGTGGCCACATGAATACGTGCAAACACCCAGTTGCGGGTACAGCAACGTGCAGTAAACTTGGACAAAGTACTGTCACTATGTGTCCCAGTCCACCCAGCTGTGAATGGGTACCTCGTAAGGATGGGAATGCCACAATAACTCGGTGCGCCTAGTGGCTGCAAGAGTTGTATGATCCCCAGGGAGTTGAGATTGACAATACGATGTGCCGTTGAGATTGACATCCAGGGAACGAGGGAAAACTAAGAGCCTTTGAGCAGCTGAGCTGGATATCGGCGCTATACAAATGTTAGTATGTAAGTATCATTCCGTTGATGTTTTCGAACGGCACCTGATTAAGCACTATACATAAGTACAACTTTTAATCTATCCCATAGACAGCCATGTTAAACTGATTGGTATGTCTAATATACATTGTTTTAATAGTTGCAGTTTTCTTAATATTCATCGGAAAATTGAATGGGAATAATGTGTATGTAGCTGAGATGATTTTCCAGCAGGTAGATAAGCATTGAAAGCAATTCGACCGAAACTAAATTTATGAACATTAATCTTGCAAGAGTCAATTAACATGCAAGTCTATGGGACATGTTATATTTGGGATTACACTTTCTTAGTTAAGTACAAATTCTAGTACTTTTTTGAGTTGAGCCCCATCTGGGATTCGAACTCACACCCTCAGAGTCAGGCACCTAATCGCCAGCACACAAAGTCAGCCGCCTAACCTATTCAGCTACCGCGACTTCCACAAAAATGGAAGTCGGACAACTGGTAGTCTAGACTGCGGGCTTTGTGTACCCCTCTGATAGGTGTTAATTGGCACGGTTCCCACGACCGAAAGCTATGATTACACAATGCCATTTAGAAAGTGGTCAAATGTAACATGTTATATTTGGGATTACACTTTCTTAGTTAAGTACAAATTCTAGTACTTTTTTGAGTTGAGCCCCATCCGGGATTCGAACTCACACCCTCAGAGTCAGGCACCTAATCGCCAGCACACAAAGTCAGCCGCCTAACCTATTCAGCTACCGCGACTTCCACAAAAATAGAAGTCGGACAACTGGTAGTCTAGACTGCGGGCTTTGTGTACCCCTCTGATAGGTGTTAATTGGCACGGTTCCCACGACCGAAAGCTATGATTACACAATGCCATTTAGAAAGTGGTCAAATGTAACAATGATGTTATATTTGGGATTACACTTTCTTAGTTAAGTACAAATTCTAGTACTTTTTTGAGTTGAGCCCCATCCGGGATTCGAACTCACACCCTCAGAGTCAGGCACCTAATCGCCAGCACACAAAGTGTACAAAGGGGTACACAAAGCCCGCAGTCTAGTCTACCAGTTGTCCGACTTCTATTTTTGTGGAAGTCGCGGTAGCTGAATAGGTTAGGCGGCTGACTTTGTGTGCTGGCGATTAGGTGCCTGACTCTGAGGGTGTGAGTTCGAATCCCGGATGGGGCTCAACTCAAAAAAGTACTAGAATTTGTACTTAACTAAGAAAGTGTAATCCCAAATATAACATGTTACAAGTCTATGGGAATTTCACTAATGATGACTCACTTATGGCCAACAACTGTATGTTTCACACAGGTAGAAATTTTGTTTGTAGATCCACTAATGGTTTTCAGTGACACAGTATTTTTTCTCTGCGCAGTCTCTTTGTTCCACGAAGGAGAGATCAGGCATCTTTCAAATGATTAGTTTAACTTCAGTCTTCCTATTTTCAACACATATTCGTTGCCAGATAGCTAGGGCAGGGGACGTCCTCTGTGTAGTACTTAAAACCCCATGAAGATCCGGATTAGAAGGGTTATCTTCAGGAACCCATACTTGTCCTAAGAGACGGCAAACGGGCTGACACATGCCATCGTATCCCTGAGGAGAATCTCAAAAGGGGCCTAGAAATAGGATTTCGTAGCCTCCCCAGTACTGATTTTGTTTGACACTATTTTCAGTTAGTATGATGTCTTGGGCTCATGAAAAGGCCTGTAATACTCTCAGATTGTGGTATCAGGTTTTTTACAGGCCATTATATGTGGTGGGGGTCTGCGAGCATTTTCGTCACATTTGGTTTGCTGCCCGACAACACCTCAAAGTTAATCATTAATAGTTTTTTACTACTATCAATCTGATCACTTTCATTTTGACTTCTGTGTACTGCTAAAGGATGTAGAAATTATTTGACATAATTTTGTTTTGAAAAAAAAATCAAAATGGCCGCCATTTTGTTTTGTCGTGTTTTGCCTTCTCAGCACTTAAATTTACATAAAAATGAACACCGAATGTTTCCATTTACATCCAAAGTTGATACTTTTGATGTTTTTTGACACTTGTTTCTCCTAGAGTGATGGCTTGGGCACAAAACAAGTCATTTTGTATGGTCATATCGTGGTAATTTAATGTTTTACAGCTTATTCTTTGAGACAGGGGTATTTTAGCGATTCTCCGACTTTTCATGGAAATGTGTGATGGTGATTTATTTAATGGCAGTTAACATTATTTTTGTTACTAAAACAAGTTGTTTTTGTTTTCTCTTTACTTCTAGAGTGACGGCATATTATTAGGAATTTTTATATATTACCCAGAATTCAAAATGGCCGCCAAAATGGCCGCCATTGTAGTTTAACTACATATACTTAGTGGAGGACTAAATTTGTACTGATATGAAATCCAAACAACTCATTTGGTGTCTAATGTTTAATACAGTATAGGAATAGAGCTAAATTTCAATGATATGGTCAATCAAAGCTTCACACTCCTAAAATATTTGATGAAATAACATTATCCAGAAGTGTTTGAAAACTATGCTTCATGACCGATAACTACGTCTAAGCTTTGGTTGTAGGTATTCAAATTGTTCTATCAGATAACTCTTAATCACATTTGATACATCCATAAGCTTGCAATTAACCCTCCTTTTCACTTTCTTTCATTTCATATGTTACTTCATGTCAGAATCGGACCTGTAAAGATCCGGGTTAGAATTGATCTTCAATAACCCATGCTTGTCGTAAGAGGCGACTAATGGCATCTGGTTGTCAGGCTCGCTGACTGGGTTGACACATGTCATCGTATCCCAATTGCGCAGATTGATGTTCATGCTGTTGATCCCTGGATTGTCTGGTCCAGACACGATTATTTACAGACTGCCGCCATATAGCTGGAATATTGCTTAGTGCGGTGTGAAACTAAACTCACTCACTCACTCATGTCAGAATCGGAGTCATCTACTGGCAACAAGTCAAAGGTGTTTGGGCAACAATCATCTGCCATACAAAAAGACATGCCTCTGTACACACTATATCATTCTTTCTGCTGGCATGCTGACCTTTTGCATTTACACGATGTCAGTTCAACCAATCCACGGGGAGCAGGATCTCTCGACATCAGAATAGGGATAAGCTGACCATCACAAATGCTCCAACCAT